CGCCCGCCTGACCGCAGCCCTCCTTATATCCCCGGCTCCGCGTCTCGCGAGAGGAGGAGGGACCCCGGCAAGCGCGCAGCGCGCATTGGCTGGGCAGGTGTCTGGACAGCCCCTCTCCATCCCCCTCCTTTGCAGAGGGCATTGGGGGCGAAGATACTTCCGGGAGCTAGGGCTGGGTTGGGGGCTGTGCCTGCAGCTTGGGACATTTAAAGGGCAAATTCATGTTATCTGTCCCAGCGAGTGAAGGAACACCGTGTCTCTACCGCTTGCGGGCCGCTGTATTTATAGCTCAAGAGGGTTTAGCCTGGGGCTGAGCTGGGGACAGAGAGAGGGGGCCCGATGCCTCAAGCGAAGCTCTCTTTGACCTCGATCCTGCACGATTGCGCACCTGGCCAATAGATTTCAGACTGCTACCCCTTCCCCCTTGTCAGAGCGTTCCCACCTAGAGCTCTCTGCCTGGATTTGGTCCTCTGCAAAGCTCTGCGTTCCTGCAAATAAATTATACTCCTCCCAAATGCATACTAACATCTTTTATGCGGCGATTGCCTCATAATGTCGGGCAAGCTCCTGTCGGAGACTTCCCTCCACCATTCAATCATTGAACCATTCAATCTGTTAGCAAATATTTGTGCAGCAGCCACTCGGCGCCATCAGAAAAAGCAGAAAGCAGGGCCACTAGTTGGATACTGTTTTAGCAATGAATGTGGATGTGTGGCTTTTCTGTTAACTCAGCCTCTCACATGGACACCGAAGAACAAGACACCCCTTTATTAGCCTCTCATCCATCACTCAGCTCCCGGGATTTTCTTGTAGACAGACCTCTGAAGGGCTTTGAAGGAGCACTCTGCTCACAATGGAAGCTCAACCATATTCTGGGCAGAATGGTTCCAGTTGGCTGACTGCTTCTTGAGGATCAGAGCCCTCAGCCTTTCCGGGAAGGTCGAATCCTTGGCTGTGTTTGCCTCTAATAGGCAGCCTGAGGTTGGGGAGCGCAGGCGCTGTCTAATCCCGAGCAAGTGATTGCAATTATTTTTTTTTAAATATATGGATGTGAAATTCAGTTTCCTTTACCTCTTTTTTTTTTAAGGCTGTTCAAATATAACTATTCGTTTTCCTATACTGCTGTCCCTTCCTCAAGAATAAGTGCAATTTCTTTTTTTAACTCCAAGCCCCTTACTCTGTTCTTTTCCCCACATTAGCTAATCTTCCTTTGGACATTTGACAAGGCTTATCCATCTTTTTAAATGTTTGCTGATCCATGCGAACATGGTAAGTGTTGACTGAGCAGAAGCTGTGTGTTACTCAGAGTCTAAAGACTTAGTAGAGCATAGGTCATTAGCAGGGTGTCAGGAGGACATAGATGATAGATTTATTTGCGGATGGGCCAGGTTAGAGTTGGGAGAAACAAGGTGCTCCCTATGAAGCCTAGGACTTGTTACAATGTTGCTAGAGGTCAAAGAAGACAGAGACATAGACAAACACAAAAGACATCTATGTGTTCCTTTAACAGACAGTAGCTAGACAAACACAAAAGACATCTATGTGTTCCTTTAACAGACAGTAGCTGAGCAATCACGGTGTACCAGGAAGTGTGGCCTCTAAAGCAACACAAGAAGAACCTTGGGCCACCTCCAAGGACCGTGCAGTTCAGTGTGTTGTTTCACACAGCGTTCCATGGAGGCTATAATCCATATATTAGTCATAATTATAATTGTGTATCTACTGCATTCTGTTGTATCAATGTTGAGCAGTGACTGAAGCCATTTTCCTTTCAGTAGTGTATTAAAGCTGTTGCTTATTTATTTATTTATGATATACATGTGATTTTTTCCCATTTATTAAGGGTGAAAGCAAATTTGCAACTTTTTATTGAAAACAGATTTTTTTCATAAAATATATTCTTCTTCCTTTTTTTTTTTTTTTTTTTTTTTTTTTTTTTTGGTTTTTTGAGACAGGGTTTCTCTGTGTAGCTTTGAAGCCTATCCTGTTACTCGCTCTGTAGACCAGGCTGGCCTTGAACTCACAGAGATCTGCCTGCCTCTACCTCCAGAGTGCTGGGATTAAAGGTGTGTGCCACCAACGCCTGCCCAGCCCAAACAATATATACTGATTATGATTTCCCCCCCCCTTACTCTACCCAGTTCTTCCCCTACTCCCATTCAGAACCAGACCCCTTCTGCCTTTCATTAGAAAACAGTCATGTAAGGAATAATATAAAAATACAATATGATAAAAACTAACAAATATGAGCAGGACAAAACAAACATACAGAAGAAAAAGAGCCAAAGAAAAGGCATAAAAATCACATGTAGACACAGAAACATACATGTTTGTATGCACAGGAATCTGATAAAAACACAAAACCAGAAGCCATAATATAATTGAATGAAAAAATAAAAATAAAACAGGAAGGGTGTGGCTATTCCTAGGTATGACAGAGGAGAAGGTTTATTGTAGATAAGAGGGAGAGCATAGCCAGAAGCAGAGACATCTGGGAGTCCAGAGTGAACATGACCCTGAGCTGGGCCCTGAGAGGAGAGGGGGGAGGAGAGAGCTAGAACAAGAGGCCAGGAGGGTAAAGAGCCAGATTATACAGGAGAAGGGCAGCCCAGCCCTGGGGCAGAAGTTTAGGGTAGGGGGTGGGGTATGCCTGTAACAGGTAGAAACTGAGGGACATTGGAAGAACCTGGGAACTTTGATATGTTAATTAGGTACCTCAGTTAGCCATTTGCCCCTGATTTGAAACCAACAATATTATTCAAAGGACTGCTAGGGCTAAAAAATAAAAAAAAAGAAACAAAAACAAAAAACAAACCCAAACAAACCCTTCAAAGATACTGTTGAGTTCATTTCCTGTTGGCCATCTACTGCTGGGTATGTGGCCTACACTTAAGAGCAGTTTGTTTCTCCAGTGAGACTCCCTTGGAGGAAACTAATTTTTCATTTGCAAATGGTTATCAATTGGAGATAGTTTCTGGGTTATGGATGGGGGTGTGTGCCAAGTTCTTTCAGATCTAGGACTCCCCCTGGTGCAGACCCATGAAGACCCTGTGCATCCTGCCTCAGTTTCTGTGAGTTCATATGTGCATTGATCATGTTGATTTAGAAGGCCTTGTTTCCTTGGTATCCTCCATGCCATAGGACTCTTACACTCTTTCTATTCCCTGAGCCCTGGGGTGGGGTGGGGGCTGTTGATAGAACCATCGCATTTAGAGATGAGTGTCCCAAGGTCTCTCACTCTCCATATTTTCTGGCTTAGATCTCTAAATTTGTTCCCATCTCTTGTAGGAGGAAGCGTCTCTGGTGATGGCTGAGCAAGGCATGAATCTATGAATATAGTAGCATGTTGTTAGGTGTCATTTTATTACTATATTCCTTTAGCAGAACAGTAATATTTGGTTTTCTCCTAGTACCATGGCCAGTCAAGTCTCATCAGGTTCTTGGTTACCCAAACAGCATCATGGATGGGTCCCATCTCCTAGAGTGGACCTTTAATCAAATCAGATATTGGTTGGTTACTCCCACAAGTTTTGTGGCCCTGTTGCTTTAGCATATCTTGCAGGCAGGTCACCATTGTAGATCAAAGGATTTTGTAGCTGGGTTGGTGTTTACCTTTCTCTTTAGTAGCATGCAGAGTACTTTCTAGAACCAAGAACACTAGTGAAAGCTTTAGGTAGGCACCAGCTCAATAGAGATGCTGTGTAGTTGGTTGGGTTTTTTTTGTTTTGTTTTGTTTTGGTTTTTGGTTTTTTTCTCCTTGGCTCTTTGGGGGCCCATTACCTAGCTCCCAAATAAATCAAATGGAGTCTTATTATTACTTATAAATGTCCAGCCTTAGCTTGGCTTGTTTCTAGCCAGCTCTTCTTAAATTACCCCACCTATCTTTTGTCTCTGGACTTTTACCTTTTCCTATTTCTGCATATCATTCTTTACTTCTTACTCCATGGCTTGCTGTATAGCTGGGTGGCTGGCCACTGATGTCCTCCTCCCCCCTCCCATCTTTTTTTCTCCTTCTATTTATTCTCTCGGTATGCCAGGCCCGCCTAGTTCTCTCTCCTGCCTAACTATTGGCCATTCAGCTCACCAGACCTATCAGGTGTTTTAGACAGGCAAAGTAACACAGCTTCATAGAGTTAAACAAATGCGACATAAAAGAATACAACACATCTTTGCATCATTAAACAAACGTCCCACAGCATAAACAATGTAACACATCTTAAATTAATATTTCACAACAATGTTGCTTATTTGTATTGTGAAAAATAATGTTGCTATTTAAGCACTCTTGCAAAAACCTTCATTTTCTTCTTTGTTTCCTTCTCAAATGACCCCCCGAGATAGAATGGATACACTGAGTATGTTTAAAGGTTTTGTAGTTCCTGCTATGTATTCAACAATAATTCTTGGGCCACTTAGATGGCTCAGCAGATCAAGGCACTTGCTGCCAAACCTCATGAACTGAGTTTGATTCCCAGGCCCTATATGGTGGAAGGAGAGAACTGACTCATTAAAGTTGCCCTGTGACCCACCACCACCACGACACATGCTCACGGGCGCGTGTGCGTGCATGCACACACGCACCCCCCACACACACACACACATCCTAACTAAACATACTAAGATAAATTATTCTTGAGAAATTAGGCCTGCCAGTAATATCATGTAGTTTTGTTTCTCACAAAACCTCCTCTAACATTGACCTAAAAAGAACTTCTTTTAGTGCACACCTTTCATTCCAGCACATGGAAGGCAAAGGCAGGCATGGCTCTATAAGTTCAAAAGGCCAGCCTGTACTACATAGCAAATTCCAGGCCAAAAACATTATGATAAGGATATATGGATCCAATTTCACTTTTCTCCATATCATTCTTGTTTATGCCAATATCAATTTTTTCCAAGATTTATTGATTTTTTAGGTGTGTCAGTGGATCTCTGTACACCACGTGCATGCAATGCCCAAGGAAAGCAGAAGAGGATCAGATCTCCCTGGAACTGGAGTTATAGGTGATGGTTACCAGGGGCACATGGGTCTTGGGAATGGAACCTATGTCCTCTGGAAGAGCAGCCAGGCTCTTAACTGCTGAGTCGTCTCTGCAGCCTTCAACATTAATTATTAAGTAGATATTTCCTGACTCTATTATT